GCGTTCACGGCTTTCCTCTAAAAAAGTTGAAAATAATTCAATATAATTTTTGAACTGGCAAGCGGAAGAAAATTTAGTCGTGAACAATAAAGACAATAGAGTGTTTATGTCTCGGAATTATCGGTCTTATAGTTGCCCCTTGGAAATTTGATGTTCTTAAAACTAGCATATTTGCCCTCGAAGCTTTGCTTCTCGGGCAAACATTTGTGTTAAGAACATCAAATTTCCGCGGGGCAACTATCAGCCGATAGTTCCTCGATAGAAACACTCTATTGTTTAAATAGTATACGAGTAGCTCAGCCAACCAGATTGCAGCATTTGCATTACTATACTAGTAGAATTCTACTAATATGTGTTATTATATGGCAAGCTCCGTGAAGGGGCAGGATGAACCGAATCTTGCGTTGTGATTGGCCACCCGAGCGGGCAAGATGAGGCTATCTTACCCGTTCGGAACTACCCGCTGTGTCCCACAAGAAAATAGTGTTCTTTTTCCATATAGTAAATCCTTTATTGACCAAGCTTGTTCGGTCAAGATGGCTGGATATTGGCCTCGTTCTTTTTTTACGTGCTATGGACCTCGAGTCCGTCTTCATCCACAAACATGCGAAAAACATACGAAAAACCCTGTAGATTCTGAGCTGTGTTCGGAGGCCTGTTTAAGAAAGCATACTAGTAATACCTGCCGGTAGAGTGCCAACGAGTAAATACTGTGACAGTTACGTACCGAATGAAAATTCGTTCAGAGTATTTTAGCAATACCGGCAACAGATAAGATCCACATGGAGGATCGAAATCATGGTCTTGCCTGAACTAAGCCCGGAACTTAGCCGACCAATGGCATATATAACACGCAAAACAGTCAACAGAGTTGCGCGTGAACAGCTACATCTGAATCATGTGGTGCCAGAACGAACAAAATGAGGAATAAACCTAGACATCGAGCGACATAAGCTCGATCAGATAGATGCAAGAAACATATAAGAACGTCTGTAGACAAACGAATAGCTTTCTCGAAGTAAAGCTACGGCGTATCGAAGGATAATCCGATTACCTGATAATCTGCTTATCCCACAGAAAATCCCAGGGATCTCACCTAAAGGAAAACACTGGGAACTTACTTAAAGAAAAACCCACGGCAAACCGTGTATCGCAGGAATAATCCGATTATCTGGTAAATAAATCTGTTTATCCTGTAAAAAATCGCAGGGATTTAACGTAAAGGAAAACCCAGGGAACTTACCTATAGAAAACCCCACGGCAAACAGTGGAGCTGCAAGAACCGCTACAGTCTTAGCAGCCGGAACCTGAGGATAAATAAGGTATAGCGGGAGTTCATAAACCCTTTAAAAAAATCCCTAAATTCAAAACAATTTCCTTTCTTTTCTAAAATAAACTCACAGTAGACGTAAACCACTGAGATAATAAAACAAAAACATAACAAAAAATACCAGGTACTCTTTGAAGAAATGCATACTACAATTGGTAAATGTAAAATCACTGAAAAGAATGCGAATGAACGTAATCGAAAGAGAGAACACTGTAAGAACATAACTAGCTCTTAGCGGGACCTTTCAAAAACCCAGTTGCAGTTTAGTATAGAAAACTCAGTTTCTGCAAAACGTAGCGTATACTTGATCTTTGTGGAAACTGAACTGCAAATATGAAATTCATTATACTTAATTAATCTTTCCCATTCGTGTTCCCACTGTTCACTGTTTTCATTACCCTACTTACCTTGGTTCCGAGATTCCTTTTAGTCGATAAGAATGACATGCTTGCGTTTTAGTTAGTTACAAACTCTTTGGCAATCTTAAAGCATGAACACTCACTCAGGACATACATACCACACATAAACTAATTGCGACCAACACAAGCCCTATTATAGATGCACGCCACCTGAAATAAGCAAAATGGAATATCAGTTTATGTGCACAGGTGAAATCTATCCTGAACCTCTGCCTCAAAAGGCTATTACTTGTAGCAAGAAGTAAACGGCAGTGATACTAATCCTCCGGTAGGTAAAGGTAAAGTCTGCATGCGAGCCAAGTGGCCCATCAGGCCGGAGCTTATCCCGGTTTCTGTAGCATGAAGCGACTAGGAATATTTCTACTCC